TGTGGTGCCACTGGAACATTACGAGTTAACCGGAAGGGAATTCCGCAGCGGATAAAGGACAAAAAGGTGGACAAAGGTAATATGTTCAGTATGTGCAATGATGAACTTGTTCTTGTGAAGTACCATGACCGTAAAGTTGTTTACCTGTTATCTACCATCGAGGAAGCTGCAAAAGCCCCCTGTGGAAGAGTGGCACCACGAACAGGAACACCCATCGAAAATCCTGCTATCGTTAATGCGTACAACAAGTATATGGGAGGCGTAGATCGGTCCGATCAAATGGTTTCTTACGCTACTTTCAATGCCAGGACCCTGAAGTGGTGGAAGCGCGTGATTTTCCATGTGATTTCTCTAGCTACTTTGAATGCTTACCTGTGCTACAAGACCCTAACTCCAAGGAAACCTATGCTTCACAGAGTTTTCCGAAAACAACTTGTAACCGAACTTGTGCAGTCCGTTAATAGAGCATGTGTCCCAGGAATGTGTACAAAGCCTGTGGGGAGGCCTAGCACTGCAGCAGAACCCATCATGAGACTGCAGGGGCAGCACTTCCCCATGAAGATCGTTGGAACAGGCTTAAAGAAAAACATTACCCGTGCTTGTGTCGTGTGCTCGGTGGCAGAGAGGCAGAGGCTCGAATCAATTGGTGAAAAAAGGAAAAGAGCAGGAAAGGAATCTAGCTATCAGTGTGACAAGTGTCTGACTGCCTTGTGCATTGACCCCTGCTTCAAACTTTTTCACACACATAAAGACTACATAGCTGCATACAAGATGCGTGTGATGGTCGACGAGTAGATTTCAGTTCAGATGTGAAAATTATGTGCGGATACAAATCCATCCAAAGAATTTATTTATTATGACATTTTATGTGTTCATTGTATTATTCATGTTATCTGTTATAAGTTATTTAAAGTTTGAAACAGGGATCAATGCACAAGGCACATTGATAACTAGATTCCTTTCCTGTCCTTTTTCTTATGACATTTTATGTGTTCATTGTATTATTCATGTTATCTGTTATAAATTATTTATTTATTTATTTATTTATTTATTTATTTATTTATCTGTAATTAATCAGTTTATAAATTTCTAATGAAATATCGATTAATTTGATTTAAAAAATGATATTTCTCTTCTAAAATCTATTTCTTTATGTTTTTACCTGTATTTACCTGAAGATTACCTAAATAAATATACATGTATATAATTATTACCTGTTAGGTGTGAAAATTATGTGTGGATACATTAAATCCAAATCCAAATCTATTTATCATGACATATTATGTATTTATTGTATTATTCATGTTATATGTTATAAGTTATTTATTTATTTATATGTATTTAATTAGCTGCATATTTAAAGTTATTCAGTCGTTTTCATTGGTTGTTGAAATGGATTATACCTGTTGAAAAATACATACCTGTTCTGTAATTGAATGAAGAAAATTATCAATTAATTATTAATTTATTAATTTCTCATAAAATATTGATTGATTTGATTTAAAAAATAATATTTCTCTTTTAAAATCTATTTTTTTATGTTTTTACCTGTATCTACCTGGAGATTACCTGTACAGCTGTATATATACAAATATATTGTATTATAACATGTTTGAAATAGAAGCTAAAAGTCTGCTGAACATTTTGATGTATAATATGTCTATATTACTATTATTGTTACTAAATAAATTTGATTTAAACAAACCACCTCTTTTTCTTTCAAAACTAGGCAAAAATATTCAGCTCACAGCCTTTTCACTTTGTATTATATATAGCATTACTAGGGTTAAAACAAATTTTGAATGGTATCTTTACAGGGCACCTTCGTTGTCCAGTGAGTTGCTATAAAAAGTATCTTTCAAAACTGAACCCAGACAACAACAGTTTGTGGCAAAGACCAGTCAATTCATTTCAAAGCAGAGATGGTATCTGGTACACCAAACAACCTATTGGAAAGAATACGCTATCAAAGATGTTACCGAATATTTGTAAACAGGCAGGTATAAGAAACGTCTAAAAGAACCATTCGTTAAGGGCAACAAACGTTACCGTTTTGGATGTATACAATTTCTCAAGTCGTGACATAATGTCTGTCTCTGGCCATAAATCAGAATCTTCTCTAAAAAAGCTACACAGGAAAAGTTGGCACTAAGCGCAAACACGAGATGAGTCAAGCTCTCTCGGCGGCATTGGTTGAGACGTCAGAAACCAAAATTGTTGAATGCACCACAAATTGTGATGGAATATTAGACCTCTCACCAGATCATTAGTGGAAGCTCTATTCGACAACTCGTTTCAAAATGAAAAAGAAAAGGAAAATGTGTCTTTATCTCCAAATGTTCCAAGCTGTTCTCAAAACCCCTTTTCATTGGAAAGATTTACACCATATATCACTGAGTGTGTTGTGAATTTCAACATTAATAGCAAATGATTGTTGTCCAATGATATAATTAAGCAGATGTTATAGTGTTTGAATTGTTTGTTACAGTTTTTTACATTCAATAAATTGTTAAAATAATATTTTTTATTTCTTCTAAGATTCTTCAGGATAATAAAACTATTATGGACTGTTTAGAAGGGAGACATCATTAATTATCAGGTCTGAGTAGGGTTGTCACCCACGGGTGACAACCCTACTCAGACCTGATAATTGGTGATGTCTACCTTCTAAACAATCCATAATTGTATAATAACCAATATTTGTACACTGTAGATTCCTTATTTTTCACAAGAACTTATTATCGCGAATGGGCTCTTCATCGGCAAATCACGAAAATAATAATTCACGAATAGACGGTTGATCAAGAGATTTTACATAGATTTCAGCACCATAAAAATAAAGGCGAGTAATCTTATTTCGCGTATGCATGGAACTTCTCATGAAATTACGTGATAATTCCACGCGTATATTTAGGAATCTACAATATATTGTATATTCTTTCCTCTCAGTGAGAAGAAATGATTGATTGATTGATTGTATATTGTTTAACATCACTCTCGAGAATTTTTCACTCATATGGATAATGGAGACATCATCGTATGCGAGTGATGGGATTCAAATTTTGACCTTTACTCGGCATAGTTTTAGTGGTTCTTTGAACTTAATATTTTTTTTCAAAAGATTTTTTGAAGTTAAAATATATGACATATACAGGGTAACAGGGATCACTTTGAGCTGCGCCTTTGCACCATTGGCGCTCAATATTTGTAAATGGTGCACTAAAAAAATAGAAAGGGGTCAGTCTGGCGCATGTCTTACAGATATGGCGCTATAACATGCAAAACTGCGGGTCGAAACTCTTATCTTGGTGCATTTTAGGACCGTTTTCAAGCTGACCGATTGTATTCATAACGTATCTGAGCATACTGTTACTTCGTTCAATCAAACTCTTTGTAGTCGCATATGTTCTTTACACCAGCAGAGCGTCTGGTTGATCAAGACTAAAATCGGAATTGTACACGGAATATTTCCTTCGTTTAGATTACGCTACTAGAAATTTTTTTACCGAATACGGAGTCAATTATATTTAATAAAATTATATGTAATGATTTCAATAATAAACATATAAAAGTAATACTCAAATATGTAATATGTTCTAATATGTAATATTGATTTTTTCTTAAAACTTTGATTATTTATTTCGAAACAAAACAAGTACAAGTTACTCATTGTGTATCCAGACACTTTCCCGAAATGCCTCCAAAGCGAAACCCAAAACAACGAAAGCTTCGTTTGTTTTACAAATAAAACGAAAATTTTTCATTCCCAGAATCGGCAGAGGTCTCTGATTAAGAAGAACAGTCCAAGACATTCACTCCTGGTGTCAACGGCAACGATGTTCGTCATTTCCAGTCCAAGTGGCTAACTTTGCACACGTGGTTGGAATTTGATCAAATGGGACTAAAATGTTTTGCAAACAAATAAAAACAATTCTCATTTCAGTTTTTTGCGTATTTTGCTCCGAGTTCTTTGCATACAAAACCAGTCCCTACCATTTGAACCAAATTTAATCTGCAACTGCCCCAGGTCTATTCAGTAGAGAAATGTGCATGTAAGTTTGCATCCTTGATAGTTTAGCTCTTCAACAACTTTCGAGAACTAAATCGATAAAATCAAAGGGGCGAGGAATTAACTTAGGTATTCTGTTTATCAATTAAATTTATACTCTGTTGTATGAAGTCTAAAACAATTCTCCAATATGACATTTTTCAGTACTGAGATGAAATTTAAAAAAAAAAAACTTTTATATTTATAATATTCATTTTATTTTAAAAAACTCAAAATGGTTGTGTCAGAATTGGCATTTAAAAACCCTCAAAGACCCAACAAATTTACTTGAAATTATCACGAAATACATTGTAGCATGAAATGTCAATTTTTTCGGGGGGCTTCGCCCCCCCCCCCCCGGACCCCCTACCAGGGCGTTGCCCCTGGACCCCAATGGGGGCCTAAGGCGGCCCCCATACCCCCGGCGGATGGCCCATGGATTTTAATGTTGATGGGCCATTGGCCCATCAACATTAAAATCCAGAGTGATCCCTGCATATATAAATAATGAGAATACCAGAAAGTCCCCATTTTGCAAATTTTCTAATTGCACAGGGCGGTTATTAGGCATTATACGGTATACAACTAATAATAGCACATTTATAGAAATTTTCAAAATTATGACTTTTCTGGGGGCAAAAATATGCAATTCCGCTGTGACTGTTATAAATGAAAAATACTGAAAAACTCAAAAAGAAAAAAAAATTACCTGGGTAAAAATGTTGAGTATCTTGCAAAAATATTATTGACTTGTCTATGAACATGATGAAAATATTAACACGATTAATAATTATGGTCAAGGCACTGGGCAAAGGGGGGTAACTCGTTAAAATACACGTGTTGTGTACATTTTCCCCATCCTTCCTAACAATTTCTATAATTGATTTATATACTGATTTCAGGAACATGTTGTTCAAGGAAAAAAAAGATTATTATTACATTGAAAAGTTACCTGCTAGATGCACTCAAGTTGAAACAATCACGATCTAGGGCAAGACGTCCAATTCGCGGCATTTTTGGTGTACAAACAAATCGAAATGTCGATCCCGATGTAAATATAACTTACAGAACACATGACACATTGTATCCACTGGGGCTCGCTTTAAAGAAGATAAAACTACACAGAAGACCAAAAAGGTTTAAATGATTGAAAATCTAAACAAAAAATAAAGGTTCTGTTAGAAATTGTTTGCAATAATACATGTATGTAATTTCAGTTTTAAAAAAATAAATTTCAAAAACATTTTAAAAAATTGAAAATTCTTTGGTAAATGTATGTATAGAAAAGAAATTTGCATGTATTTGCAATATTTGAATCCTGTTTAGCGTGAAGTAAAGGTCTTATTAAAAAAAATCGATTTTCAATATTCTAAGTAAATTTAATTTGCAATCTATCAATCAATTAAAAATTTAATTATTCATGCATCCATCCAAAATCTTTTCCAGCTATAGGTTATCTTTTAGGCATAATAAATGTAATAAAGTTAATCCATTGGCGGATCCATAAGGGGGAGGTCCGGGGGGTGAACCACCACCCCTTTATTTTTGTACAAAGAGAGAGAACGTTTTTTTTCCTTGAAATATAGATATTTCTACGTTAAATTATTTGAAAAAATAAAAGAATCTCTGTCCTTTCTGCATGCTCACTAGATCTGTAGATTTTCACGTATTTGTTTGCCTCCGTGTACCTTCACAACCCCTACTAATAGCTCCGACCACCCACAAGTAACATGCTAGGAAGATTCGATCGTCGAACTTTATCAATACAATTTTTGAACCATCGATCTTCAGAAGTAACTAACTTTTAGAAGTATGCATGAAATACATGTACACGCATCTTTAATCAATGAAGAAAAGGTTTAATTTTCACGTTGTATGCAGATGAAAGGGACCCACTTTTTATGCGAATAATCTTTTGCTGTAGTTTTGATTTATATTTTGATTTGGAAGCACTCTCCACATTTTTTGTGCCAATGAATAGGCAAATTCTAATATTTAAAAGTAATGTACCCAACAGAAAAGTTACAGGAAGCCCCCTCTACCCCCTCCCCCCAAAGGGATTTTAGAGTGTGGTGCATATATAGTTTCTTTAATGGATTTATTTTGTTTTTGTTTAGATTTTTTGTTTTGTTTTGTTTGTTTTTTGTTTTGTTTTGTTTGTTTTTTGTTTTGTTTGTTTTTTGCTTGTCAACTGTTTTTAGAGGTATTTCTTCTAATTATAAATTAAATGAAGCTACGGACTTGAGGTGCCCGTTCTGTGATTCTATGCATGAGTGCTGGGGGCATCGACCTCCCCCCCCCCCCCCCCCCCCCCCCTTCAAAATATCGCTGAATCCGCCTCTGTAATCTATCATAATTACATTGAATGAGAAAGACAAACTGCAGAGTCGATATGTGCGCGTTGCTTGGTTGTAAAAAGTATGTGTAAGGAATAGATTCTGTAGCAAAAGCTTGTAAAAATATAACATGTGTATTATATGAATATTATATGTGCATGGTATAAAGATATTAAATGTATTGATGCATTGTTTATAAATACCTGTGTATTGAATGAATATTACAGTTGATCCTCGTTTATCCGGACACTGTAAAACTCATAGGTAGACGCCTTAACAGTAAGAGAATGCATAGGCGCCGGATCCGGGGGATGGGAGGTGTAAGCCCCCCTCCCCACTTTTTTTTTCAAAGATTAACAACATATAATCATTGAATATTGGGGCTTACATTTTTTTCGTTGGCTTAGTCCCTCCACTTAATTAATTAAGTTGCTTCCGACGCCTATGCAATGATAGGATAGCAAGAATGGATCTTAAGCCCCCTCCAAACGAAATAGGGTTTTTACATTTAAGTCCATCATTTTACATTCAGGTCCATCCTCGGAATTTGCAGAGGTTTACATTAAACCAAGTAAAAGTGAACTTGAACCCCCCCCCCCCCCCCCCCCCCCCCCCCCCGAAAACGGTGACCCCTCCCCGAAAACACGAATCTTTGTTATATTGGTATTAAAATTCATTACTATGAAGCTTTGAGAAAGTGAGAAAGTTATCCACTCCCCCTCTCCATGAAATAGGATTCACGTTTGGGAAATGACTTTACGTGGATTATTTTGTGCTTTGTTTTTGATTGTCAAGAAATATCTAGATTGGAATTTTTTTTTTTTTTTGGTTAGGGTGGACCCCTCCCCCTAGAAAAAAAAGTCAGGATCCGCGACTGAGAGGTGAACTTTTTCCTTTCCTTTATTCTGCGTGTTTGAGTGGAGGGTTGGGGCGGATTCCCCTCTCTTTTAAAAATAAAGATCTTAAAGATCAGCGCCTGGTTGGGAGGTACATATATAATTATAACTACTGAAATGTCACTTCAATGAAGAGCGGCAAACATTTTTGAAAAAGGTAAAGATAAAAAAAAACAGGAATCAATATAAAAACACCCTTAAACAATGCATCATTATGAGACAGATGTGTCAGACGCTGTGGTATCTTTCACTTCCAGTTCACCGGGATATACATTGTATAGTATCGACATATAAGAATGGAAATAACCATTTAAATCGACAGTATGTCGTCAATATATGAATGTCAAGTTGAAGGGTACAACGAGTGTTTTCCTCTTTCAAAACATAAGATTTTGGACATATTATGCCCATTTGAATATAAAAATAGGTCTTCTAAAAGAGGGGCGCAATTGGTACCCCTAGGAATTCCAAAGATTGTTGGAAGACAAGGTCTCCAAAAAGACATACAAACGTTTTATTTTGTTGATAATGGTAAAATTTTGTGATTTCAAATATCAAAAACTTCTTTGGAAGTTTGATTTACACCACTTCTCGAATAAATTGTTCAAAAGAGGATCCCGGGCCGGAACACATAATATTATAGTATCAAAATTTTTCATTAATACACAACAAGATTGTCACTTTTCCTGAGGATTAAGAAAAAAGTTAAAATTTGTGAAAGTGCAAGGATATGTCAATCAAACCTGCCAAAAAAAAAAAATTTTAATAACTTTTAAATGAAATAAGATTTTTAAATTAATTTTTTGTGTGAAATGCTATTAAAATACAATAAGTCGTAATATTATAGAGAAAATATTAACTTCAAATCTGTGTCCAAGTACCTTTAAGGACATATGCAAGGTACCTTATCTACTGATAATTTTTCAAGGTACTCCTAATTTAAGATTATAGTGCCATCAGATGTTAAAGCATGCATTACCAGTGTTTTTAAAAAAAGATACCAGATAAAAAAAAAAATTGCATGTCTAAAAATAACGAAACATAATTTTTCCATCAAAATTTGTTTTAGAAAGAAATATTTTGATCGGGATTAGCCAAAATAAAGAAAAATTATTTCTCTAAAATTTGACTATTTCGTTTTAATTTCTTTCTAAAATATGATTAATGAACATGTTTTCCCCAGTTTTGACTGGTTTTAAGAAGATTTTAACCAAAAGTTAAAAAATATTCACAAATTATGTGTTTTTATTTCCATAAATATTTTTTTCAGAAAAAAAAAAAATAGCAAGAGGTCCATGGGCCATCGCTCACCTGAGCACTAAGGCTAGTGGGAAAAAAAAGAAAATGGTTTAAATACTGTCAAGTTTAAATCCAAAAGAAGTCCTAGGACCAAATAGGGATTAACTATTATTTTGAAAATGAATCTTAAAGAATTTTCCTATATATTTCTATGTAAAAGTTTGGTCGGGCATTTTGGCCCTGCCATACCCCTGGGGGTCATAATTTGAACATACTTGAATCTTCACTACCTTAGCATGCTTCCATATAAATATGATTAATTATGGCTTTGTAATTCCTGAGAAGATTTTAAAAGAATTTTATTATATATTTCTATGTAAAAGTTTGGTCGGGCATTTTGGCCCTGCCATACCCCTGGGGGTCATAATTTGAACATACTTGAATCTTCACTACCTTAGCATGCTTCCATATAAATATGATTAATTATGGCTTTGTAATTCCTGAGAAGATTTTAAAAGAATTTTATTATATATTTCTATGTAAAAGTTTGGTCGGGCATTTTAGCCTCTACCTACCCCCAGGGGTCATGATTTGAACAAACTACCTACCTGAGCATGCTCCCATATAAATATGATGAATTATGGCTTTGTCATTCTTGATAAGATTTTTAAAGAATTTTCTTATATATTTCTATGTAAAACTTTGGTCGGCCAATTTGGCCCTGCCTTACCCCCGGGGGTCATGATTTGAACAAATTTGAATCTACACTACCTGAGGATGTTTCTCCATAAGTTTTATCATTCCTGGCAGAGTGGTTCTTGAGAAGAAGATTTAAAATATGCCACCAAATTTTCAGTTATTCCAAATTATCTCCCCTTGAATGAGGGCGTGACCCTTCATTTAAACAAACTTGAATCCCCTTTTCCCAAGGATGCTTTGTGGCAAGTTTGGTTGAAATTGGCCCAGCGATTCTTGAGAAGAAGTCGAAAATGTGAAAAGTTTACAGACAGACGGACGCCGGACAAAATGTGATCAGAAAAGTTCACTTGAGTTTTCAGCTCAGGTGAGCTAAAAAAGTCTAACCAGCCTTTCTTTACATACCAGTATTTTATTACGTATTCATTTGATGCATTCATTCACAGCCAATTTTTTTTTAGAAGAACGCATCTAATTTGGATGTAAATATTTTTTTTTTCATTATATTTGAAAAAATACTAAAAAAATTGCATAAAATAATTAAGATCTAATGTCGGCCTTTCAATGCTGAAACCATTGTTTAAAAATGTCGACTCAGAGATCCATAGAATAAACCGTTGTTGTGGGATTCTTCCTTAAGCCCTATATTTTTCTAAAATATGAAAGTGATGCAAGATGTAAGAAATCAAAATTCATTCTTTCTAAATCATAGGAATCCCCTGAAGTAAGAAAACCCAAATCGTTTTTCTCATATGACCTCCTTGATGTTAATTGTGATGTCATTACCTTGTGGATTTTCCCGTCTTTTCTTTATAAGTTGCAGAAGACATCAATTTTCAAAGGAATTTTCTTT